ACACATCCATGATCAACTCCAACATATGAGCTTTAGTTCTACCTTAAACCACTCTTTGCAACACTCTATTTAAAATAAATCTACAGGGTTCATCAGGCACAGGTGTAAGTAAGTAGATTGTTAAGACTAAAATGTTGGAAAGTAAATTATAAATAACTCCTGTACCTTCCTGGCCTTGTCTGCTGGAGTGTCTGTCCAAACTGACTGATCACCTACTTCAACAGCACGAGCACGGAACTTACGGGGCCCCAAACCTGAAGGCAAAAATAAACCAAGGGATAAAATTAGAACAAAATTATGTTGCATCTATTATAAAAAAAGAAACTTGTGTAAGAAAATTTTGCACTGTCCAACATAAACCAAGGTTTCCCACCAAGCCAAGAACTTTAACATTGACAAAATGCAGTAGACTGTCATAATTAATTATAAGCAAAGTCAAACTAACCCACCAAAATTCTTGCTTAAGTCTGGAGGCAGCTCTGTCATCCAAGTCTCTCGCTTAGGTTTTGCATCTTTCTGTAAAATTGATTTATAAACTTTTAACCAGAGCAGTTCACTTTATTCACTAGTGGGGGTCATATGTAGAAGGAGGGAGAAGGCACAAGAAAAAACGACAAGGAAAAAGGAGATGGGGAGGGTGGCAAAAGGGACCTAAAAGTAGACAGGAGGTGCAAGACAAACAAGACAAACAAAAACACATACTGCGTTACTGTGAAACTCAGAAATGTATATTGACCAATCTGACAGAGCTCAGGATGCAAACTTAAGCTTTTTTACTCTTTACGGTGGCTAATTTACGTTTTCAACCCAGTTGTTAACACTAAATTACCTGCTATACTCTCCCACCGACGCAGCACCACAGTTTCTTTAGAAACTTACCCCTTTATTCATTTAAAAAAAAAAAGACACAAACTGAATGCCTTTTTATAGAGGTAGTTAATACATGATACACGATACACGATTAGCTATTACTTAGAACACAATGTCTTATATTCCATAGATATTGCTGGTTTTCTGCCTTTCCCTTCAATCATTAATCTTCAGTCTTTTGTTATAAAGGTTGTGAGGTAAGAGTCAAAGGTTTGGGACACAGGGCATCAAGTATTTTACCCACAGTCCTCCTCATGTCCACACAAAAGGGAACAGTCCTAGGTTCCTTCCCTTTTTTGCAAGACTGCAGTGCTGCATTGTTGGGAGAGTATAACAGGGTGACTTAGTATTATCAACTGAGTTGATACCGTAGAGTTCTGATAGTAGTGACCTTCATTACTTTCGGAATTGGCAGCCTTTGGGGGTTGCTTCCTTTGGGGGTTGCCACTTTCGGGAGGTTGCTACTTTTGGGGGGTTGTTACTTTTGGGGAACAAAAATAGTTTACAAATAGAGCTGGCGTGAGCTTTTTTTTTCCAAAATAAACAATGAACAACATAAAATTAAAAAAAGAACAACATTTTATCTGCATTCCTTATGTATAGATTGTGTTTCACAAACAGAAGGTAACAATGATAAATAGTCGATGTTACATTTAATGTGGAATTTAAGAAAAGTGTTGATAGACTAGCCACAGAACACTTGTCTGCAAATCCAGTGCTTTATGACGGGTAAAAGTGAATGCTGGTGATCAGTGTGAGCTTTTCACAAAATGGGTGGGTATAGCATAGAAAGAGACCTCATGCCGGCTGAAAGACACAGTTATCTGTTCATTTCTGAAATGCAGAATTTCACCACCCATTTCCTAAACTGCTTCAATTGTACTGCATGATGCACTGTTGCCTTTTTGTCTGTATCCCATACCAGTATCTCAGTGTCATTTAATTGGAAGAAACACGTTTGTGTTAATAAACAAAAACTATTTAGAGCTTTCAATTTCAATTTGAAGAAATGTTCCTGTTGTTAATACAAAATTATACTGGGTTAGTTCTTACATCACTACATCAGTGAACTGATGTCAAGGATGAATGGTGGCACAAAGCTTCCCCTTGTTGTAAATTAAAGTGCCTTATCATGAACAATTTAAGACGCTGCACGAACATATTATTGTACATTAAAATTTTGACTATTGATCAACAAATTAAAAGTATACGGTATACAATTTAAAAAGCTTGGTCTTGCTACTTTCTGGGGGGGGATTGCTGCTTTCAGGAGGTTGCTACTTTCAGGGTGGGTCGCTACTTTCAGGGGGGTTTCTACTTTCAGGGGGGTCACTACTTTCGGGGGGTTGCTACTTTTGGGATGTACTAGCAGCCACAAAAAACTGACATTAATTCCAGGGGGGGGCTACTTTCGGGGGATCGTTACTAGCAGAACTTTACGGTAACATAAATTGGCCACTGTAAAGAGTTTCAAAGCTGATGTTTCAAGGTTTAGCCCTTCATCAGAGCCAATGACAAAGGGCTAATGCTCTGACAAAGGGCTAAAGTATACTGTTTCACTTCTGAAATACCTACATGTTACTTTCATGTACCTTGCCTGTCATCTGGTCCTTTTTTGCCATACTTCGTGCCTCTATGTCCATTTTGGTTCTTTCAAATCCAACATCAATGTCCTGTAAGTTTTGGAAAAAATATATTAGAATCATGATAAATTATTCTTTGTTGAATCCATGGATTTGATATTAGAACGGTTTACTTTGGCAGTTGGTAGAGTTGGTCCAATGACATCTCCATCTTCATCACTACTGATGGTATTTTCAACAGCTGTACACAAAATAACAACGACAGAAAAACAGTTCAATTAATTTAAAAATCAACTTTGGTACCAATCAGTTTTTTTTTCATAAAAAAACTACAATTTTGTTTTATCTTAGTGGATTCGATAGTTTTCTCACACGAATTCACTTTAAAGTTTAAAACTCGGTAAAAGTTACATTCTTCACAAACCATTTGACGAGAGTGCCGCCGCAGACACGGATTCCGGAGGTCTCATGGGTCCGATAACCTTCACTCTTGTAACTTCTTCCTTTTTCTTTTGGAACCCAGGTGGTAAGGCCGGTCCATAACACTCGTCTTCATCACTGTTTTCATCATCCTGCAGTGGTCGTGAGGATGTTTCCTCTTTTCCAAGGGCACAATTTTGCCTTTCTTCCACCTTTTGTTTGTTTATATTCTTCAGTAGATGTGGTGGCAAAGCTGGACCAATCTCCATGACTAAATTCTGAGTGTTTTTCTGACTATAAAACCTTTTTCTAGTTACACGAATTCAAGTGTATTTTCCTCCGCCATTTTGTTTCTGAAAAGTTTCTAATACCCCTTACAAGACAATGATCTTGCTTAATGAGAGCCCGCTGACAAGCTATCGTTCCCAAGCTTTCGCGGTTCATTCAAAGATGGCGGCCTGACCTGACTAATTTGAACTTTTAAAGAGACCATCAGAACAATTTTACGAGGCGAAATATTGAATTTTCAATGCCACCTAAAAAGGGAAAAGGAGGTGGAGGTGGTAAACAAGATAAAGGAAAAGGAGGAAAAGGCAAGTTCGATCAAACGTAACCTCTGAAAACCCTTTAATGTCTAAAAGTCGAAAGAGTAGTTGCTATGTTTTGTTGTTTAAAGATCTAAAGGCAACTAAACTTTGTTAAAAATGTTAAAACGGCTTCTTCAACCTTTAAGCTCCTAGTGTTGATTGACATGTAACTTTTCCCTACATAATACTATTCGTTATTCAGCAAACAGGTTATGAGAAAACTCAAACTTATCAAGTGGAAGTTACTACATCACGGGTGACGAGCGGGGATAGAAAAAACGACCCAAATATGAG